TCGTCTTCGGGGACGTACGGCGAGTCGAAAAAAGGTGTGGGTGTGGACGGAGAGCAAGCAGGTCATGACGGCCGCCATCAAGAGAGGCTGGAACACTTTCGTCTTCCCCTTTCAAAGCCGTGAACTTGCCGATGAGTGGTCCTATCTGAAAACTGGAGGTGGAGAAAACAAACAGCTCTTGTCAAACTGGCACTTTTCAGAGAGCTTCGTTTCTGAGTTGAAGAGAGATAAACAGAGCAGCACAGAGACCTTCCCGCGACCGCACGGAGACACTCGTACAAACGCCCGCAGGGAATTCATACACCGCACAACGCGATGGTTTCGACTCACGACCACTCGAAGCCACTCTTACTCGACTCGGACCGAGACCTTCCCGAGGCGGCCTACGACGAGGCCGATAAGGTCCACGTGGGGGGGATCAATGAGGCCGGAGACGATAATTGCCAAACGCCGACGTTTTCATGAAAGAATCTGTGACTGTTAACCGGACCCGGGTTCTTGATGAGTATCGTGTTTTTGGACCTGGGGAATTTGGAGGGTGATCTTCAGGCGGGGGCGATAGCTAGGAACTCGCTGCTGTGGTTGCTGATGTGGGCGACGGCGATGAGGCTGTTGGTGCAGCTGCTGTCGGTTCGGCTCGGGGTGGCGATTGAGCGACACCTAGCGGAGCTGTGTAAGGAGGAGTACCCGACGTGGGCGTGGATGGTGCTGTGGGTGATGGCGGAGCTTAAGAAATGGCCTACCCAAGGCCGGACTTCCTCCTCCAAACCTTCAGCAGATGCTGATGGAGATACCAAGAAAAGCAAAAGATGAGATCACCGTCCGCTGCCAATAATGAAAATAGAGATACAGATAAGTTGTCTTACAACAATACCATTATTATTCCACTTTGGCGTTGTCTGCCATCTGAAAGAGGAGAAAGAAAAGTAGTGGGAAACAAAGAGAAAGGAAAAAGCAAAAGAGAGAGATGCAAGCTATCACCAAGTTGGTTCAAGCAAGGCTAGAGCAACAAAGGTGCAGAGATCAAGAAAAAAGCAAAAAAGCAAGGGGGAACAAAGCAGAAAAGAGAAAGCAAAAGGAAAAACAGAAAAGGAAAAGAGAAAAGGAGAAAAGCAAAAAATTTTCCTATTATTATGATTTCTTATGTCTGTCAGATGAAGAGACAGAGAGTGCAGCATAAAAACACTGCAAAAGCATGGAATAAACACCCCACCAGAATGATGTAATTTTATTTTTCGTATATCTTTCGGAGACATATGTATAAACCCCATCAGATGGTAATATGTATAAACCCCATCAAAGGACAAAAAAAAAAAAAAAAAAAAAAAAAAAAAAAAAAAAAAAAAAACGGCAAGCCCAAAATAAATGGGCTGGAATGCTGTGTAGAGGGCGAAGGCCCATAAGCCCAAAATCGCTCCAACTAGGCGATCAAAAGTACGCCCAGCATTCCACATTATACATGAGCATTACTCATGTCATTCATACATAAACATTCATGAGCATCACTCATGACAATCATACATAAACACTCATGACCATCATTCATGTCAACATTCATGAGCATCACTCATGTTAACATTCATGAGCATCACTCATGACAATCATACATAAACACTCATGACCATCATTCATGTCAACATTCATGAGCATCACTCATGTTAACATTCATGAGCATCACTCATGACAACATTCATGAGCATCACTCATGTCAATCAACATAAACATTCATGAGCATCACTCATGTCAATCAACTTCAAAAGCTTCATTTACAGAGCTCTAGCTTCAAAAGCTTCATTTATAAAAGCTTCAGCTTCGAAAGCTTCATTTACAGAGCTCTAGCTTCAAAAGCTTCATTTACAAGAGCTCTAGCTTCAAAGCTTCACTTGCAAAGCTTCACCTACAAAGCTTCAGTGCAGGGTATACAAATACCGCCTCCGAACAACCGCCACTTCGGCCCATACATGGATTCAATTTGAAGTCTCCAGCCAACAGACTCTATTGACCGAAGATTTGGGGGACTACATTATGTACCATATATTGGGCCTCAATTGGGCCTCATGAAAAATATTTGGGGGACTTAGCCCATTATTTATGTATTAAGGAGCGAGCCCTTATTCTATAAAAGGGACTCCCTTACCTTCATTAGAGAGCAACGCCGCCAGCTGAGCAACCGCCTTGCTGCAAACATCAACTCTAGCCCATCATTTATGTATTGAGGAGCGAGCCCTTATTCTATAAAAGGGACCCCCTCACCTTCAAGCGCCACAAGCAAAGCGGCCTCGCAACATGTGCTACTTATAGTTGAGCATCATTTCACTTTGAGCACCGCCTCATATCAAGTACCAGTTCAAGACGACATCTAGTTACTTCGGCCCACACATGGACTGAATTTCAAGTCTCCAGCCAAAAGACTCTCTTGACTGAAGACTTAGGGGACTACTGTTTATACCATATTTAGGGCCTCGTATTTAGATCTCGTACAAATACTCGGGGGACTTAAATGTAATTATGTGATAAAGGAAGGGGCAAATATGTAATAGGTGAGGAGCCCTTATTCTATAAAAGGACTCCTCACCCTGACAATTTGAGAGGCCTCACTCTCACTCTCAGAGGCCATGGGAGAAGCCTCTCACCCCCTCTCAAAGCTTCCTCACACCCCCTAAGCTCTAAGCTCTCTCTCTCCCTCTTCAACAGAGAAATACAATACAATCAGTGTGGACGTAGCCCAAACCTTGGGGTGAACCACGATAAAATCCTTGTGTTCTTTGTGTTCTTTGTGTTCTTCGTGTTCTTCGTGTTCTTGAGCGTTTGTGCAGATTCACGGTCGGATTTACGTTGTACCAAGACCATCCGGTTTTGTGCATCAACATTTGGCGCCGTCTGTGGGAAACGACACAAAAAGCTATGTCGGTTCTCTTCCTCAATTTTTCATTTTCACCACCGTGAATCTGCACCACTCCCCGAAAAAAAAAACCCACAAACACTCTACCTTTCTCTCATCCTCGGAATTCATCAGATCTTTGCCGTAGATATGCTCAGATCACTAACCCACTCATCCAAAACTTCAAAATCTGACTGAACAAAAAGGGGCAGATTGTGTACCGTTGCTCCAAAATGGGCCTTAATACCAGGCCAAGCTCCCGGAGCTCCAGGCCCAACTCGCCACCTCCACCCTCTTCTCTCTCGACCCTCCACAGCCGCCACAGCAGCTTCGACCTGGGCTGCGACACTCGGTTTTCTGGGCTCTTTTCAGGGAAATCAGCTTTCCAATTCTTCTGTTCTGATGGGTTCCAAATCCAGAGGCTCCCTACTACACAAACACAACATGTTGGGCAATCCATGAGCACCAAAACTGCATGAAGTATGGAAGACCAGCCTCTGCTCCTTTTTCAGGCGTGAGGCCAAAACCTGTGGCCACGGAAGCGAGTGCCGCTACGCGTACGGCAAGGTTCGCCGCACCATTAGGTCCACTGCCAGCTCCGACCGCGCTAGGTTGAGCTCTCAGATAGGAGGCGGGGTGACGTACTCGACGAGGCTGAGTACAGAGGATCAGGACTGTTCTAGAATGAAGATAGTATCAGCGGAGGCGGTGGCCGAAATGGCGGAGATGGCTGCGGAGGGGAGGCCGTTTCCTTCAGCTTCTTCCTGTTCTCGTCGCTGGTGGCGCATGGACTGAAGCTGGCGATCAACCTGCTCAACAGCAAGGACGTCGACGAGGCGTTCCGGGGCTCCAGGACTAGGTCGGGGTCCGAGTTGCCACGTGCCTACGAAGAGTTGGTGGAGCTTCGAAGAGTCTGATTGAGGATGAAGCTGAGCTCAGTGACTGGGTCAGCGAGTTAAAGAGTGACTCGCGCGGCGAACCGGAGGGCCGTAGGGGGACGGTCAGAGAGAGAGGCACTGTGATTTTTTTTCTCAGAGAGAGTGGGAAACAGAAAGAATCAACTCAATTGGAGTCATCCACTAGAAGGCAGCAATCATCCACTAAACCTGTAAAAAAGAGAAAGTGGAACAGGTTTGGTGGGAAAAATCCCACTGGTGTCGGCCATAGCACCAGGAAAAGAAAGAAGAAAAAGAAAAAAAAAAAAAAGAAAAAAGAAAAAGAAAGAAAAAGAAAAAGAAAAGAAAAGAAAAAAAAAAGAAAAAGAAAAGAATAAAAAAGAAAGTGGGGAACAGAAATTTAGTGGGATAGTCCCGCTATCATCACTATGTCTCCACCATGCCTCCACCGAAAACAGGATAATATCTTTTCATCCCCCTTCCACAGTTCTCCACCGCGTGCTTCGGCAACTGCGCGCTCCGTAATTCAGCAAGACATTCACTGTTCTTGGTCAGATGCATTTTGATTATGTATCAGTTGTACATACTTCTGTTTTCATGATTCCCTTATAACTTAACAAATCAATTGTTGTTTGCTACCTAGCCATGGTGGATAGGGTTTGCCCTGTGGGCTTAGGGCCAAACTTAGCCGCCACCCTCCACAAGGACCACAACGAATCACTTTAATGCACTGCTTAGTATGATAGACTTATTGGCTTCCGATTTGGCTTGATAGATATAACAGTGAAAATTTAATAGATGAACGCACCTTTTAACTTCATCCGCATGGCATATGTGAATTCCAGGGGTTTGCTGATGTTGAAGATGCTTAATGAGGCTGAGCCAATAAGATCATATTATAAATATACACTTGCATATGTCTTGGTGGAGTCCAATTATTTACACGTGCTTGCTAAACATGTAGAAACTTTAAAATTCGTTCTTGAATTTGTAGACGTTTTGAAGTTCGGGTACCCAGCTCACCAGATAAGCTCAGTAGTGCATGTGTTTGGATTAATCCTGTATTTGATGAATAAGGAAAAATTTGAGACAAATACTATGATCATATATGAATAGCTAACATCGTGTTGCTAGTGATGTGGTGTTGGTAAACTATTATTTTAAACAGAAAATTTAGGTGCTTAAATTATGTGTATTTCTGTTTTGTTTTTCTGGAGTATTTACAATACATAAAGTGTAAAGTGCTTCAGAATCATTCTTGATTTTGTTACCGATAACTTTAAACTTAACTCTTACGGTTTAATTTTTATTTGTCAAATAACTAATATGATGTTGAGCTTTTTGGTTTGACTCAAGTAATATTGTTGCTTGCAGAGACATAAGAGGCTGAAAAGAATATTTATGGTACTTCATGAAGAATTGAAGGTGATTCATTCTATCCTCGTCAACCACCATCTTTGAATTAATGCCGTTATGTGTTGGAGTTAGTCATAGGAATTATCTACTTTGCAATTATCATTTGAGTTTTAAATTTTTTGTAGTGAGTGTTGTGAATATTTTCGCGTCTTTCTGCAGCACCTTAAGCAAAGGATTAAGGACTTTGCAGTCTCATACATGGACTGAAAGAGGGAATCTCATCCTCGTCATTCACTATAATTGAAACCTCTTCCTTCAGGCCCGAGGGTGTGACTAGGAAGTTATATGTTGAAAACAGCACAACAGAGTCCTCTCTCTCTGAAGATGAACGCTCATGTCACAATGAGAGAGCATCCGCAGTTTTGCCGTGCCCGCCCAGTTTACCCGTAAATAGCATTTAACTCGTATGTACATTAGTTTTGTATTCAGGTCAGGCCTTTTGTTCTTGTTTTGCCTGACCAGTTCAGCCTATCCAGTTTATTCGGGCTTCTTGACATTGTGCTCTTTGTGCATATAGTTGTATATCATAACACAGATGGTAGGAAGAACTCAAAGAGTTGATCAAATAAGACTAAATCATTGATACCATTCATGCAGATATTGCCTTCTGTGAAACTCACCTTTTGTGGAGGGTGAGATTCAAATTCTGTTATTCATTGAGATTGGCTCCCTTGGCTATATATAGCGGAGGGAGTTCTGAATCTGGGACGCACGGGTAGATACTCAACGTCTTATCCATCAAGATATTGGATCACGCGCAAATGGTTTTTTTTTTTCTTCCGTAATTTTATTTTAGCTTTTCATACAATGATTTTGTCACACTGTTTTTCTCCTCCTACACTCTTGTTTATTTATGTTCTTTAGTGATTTATTCAAGGGAAAAAAACTTTATAAAAAGATGTGTAGGGAGAAAAAAGAGACGTGAAAACCACTTTCCGAAGATTAATGATGTTAATATCGGTTTTTAAACGCTACACTTTTGTATTCACTATTTACCAACCCACTAGTTGTACTTCTTTTTTATCCAACGATATTTTACTCTGGCAGCGTATGATAAAGCCCCATAATGTGAGTTGCACCCTTCCTTACTTTGTTAGCTCCACATAAAGAGTTGCATTAAAGTTTGCAACTTTTTACATTTTTGTAATACGATATTTTAAACTACTCTAATTCACTGAAGGGTATTAGAAGTTGAATATAAGAAGGTGCGGTGTGAATATTGCCTTGACCAACTAGTCCGGTCCTATTTTTTTCACATTAAGAAAGCTAACCCAATTGAGAATTCAAGGTAACCCATTTCACCTTAAAGAGCAAAGCTTTTTTGAACATAGCATATCCATACAAACTTTTCTTAGGCCTTTTTCAATCACATTAAGGCCCCGTTTGTGATTGAGGTGATTTTTAAAAAAAACCACTGTGAAAAAAAGCTGAGGGTCATTTTTGTGTTTGGTAAACTGAAAAAAAAGGGCTTATTTTGGAAGCTGCTGTGAGAATAAGCTGAAAATCAAAGGAAAAGCTGAAGCTGCTATTTGCTACTTTGAAAAAAAGCCAGTTTTTTCAAAGCACACGGAGCTACAGTGCTCCTTTAATGAAAAGACACACACTATCATCCTGCTTTTTTTTTCCCAAAAGCACTTTCACAAAAAATTTTACCAAACACTCTACTGGCTTTATTTCACAGCCGCTTATTCTCACAGCAGCTTTTTTTCAAAGCACAGCAATACCAAACCAGCCCTAAGAATGCTACTCAAAATTTCACTCCAACATGACTTTATATGATTTTTCATCTACCTTGGCTGAACTGGTGCTTTGTTGAGCCTTATAGAGCTCTTACCAGAAAGTTTATTCACGACAAGAATTTAACGCTTTTTGACATCATTTTGTGACTATACACAATTCAACTTTTGTTTGGGCTGAATATATTAACTAGTTTTGTTTGTAAAGGGTTATGTTTTATTTTCTTTGCTACTTTTTTTCTTTGATTTATTAAGTTGTTTTGGTTGTCCTAACAAAGAATAGAAAAAATAAAAGAAGAAATTATTTAGTGGAGCTTCTTCCACATAAAAACATAAAGTTAACATATTTGCAGTTTCCAGAGACATAAACATTATTGCTCTTTGAGAATAATAAAATATGTGAAATTCACCTCCGATGTATAATTAACAGTCTCCCCGCACCCAAAAAATATAAATAGGGAAGATTTTACGGTACCTTATTAAAAAAAAAAGAAAAAAAAGGTATCGGTGGTATTTAATTTAATAAAAATTACATTTTAAAGTCACATAATTATGATAAGGTTCGAGTTAATAATAAGAGTGACGTGATTATTTCAATAGCAAGGTTAATAGCCACATTGTGTACGTTGTGTTATATTATCAAGGTAGGTGTTAAATTATCTATGTTTAGTATTACCCCCAATGAACGTACTGTTAAAATAGAGACGAACTTTATGAACTTACATATCATCGTAAACATACGATGATCCTGAGTCAGACGTACAATAAGCCTAGTATAGGCATAGGCCCAATTCCAATCACTCATCTTAAACTAAGTTTAACATCTTATTTTATAAATAAAAAAAATCAATAACTCTTAAAATCAAAATATAAAGTCTGATTTAGTTTTATCAAAAAATATTCTCTCACGTTGTCCAAGCAAAGAATAATAAACTTTGAGTTTTTCCTCCTTTCCTGTTTTTTTCTTTGAACAAATATGATATATTATCTATACTAAGGGGTGGGGGAGTAGGCTAAACTTTACAATGGAGTAGCAATAATATTGTTCAAATTTGTCTTTNGCTCTTC